GACTGTAAACACGAAAAATTCCTGAAAACAAGAAACAAGAATAAGTGTACAAAATAATATTTTGTGTTTAATGATTTTGGGGTTACGATCTCTCAAATTTGGTCCTCTGATTCGATTTCCGTAAGATGTAGATTTGTTGATCCAAGGGCCGTCGAGGCTTGATCTTGGATGAACAGTTATAAGTTTCTTCAAGGGCCTTCGTGGCTTTGATCTTGAAGGTTGATGGAAGTTTCTTCAAGGGCCTTCAGGGCTTGATCTTGAATGTTGATGGATGAGCGGATCTTCAAGGGCTTTTGGGCTTGATCTTGAAGAACGGTTGGTTTTCTTCAAGGGTCGTCGAGGCTTGATCTTGAATGAACGGTTGGTTTTCTTCAAGGGCTTTTGGGCTTGATCTTGAAGAATAGATGTGTGGATTTGTTTGTTGATCCAAGGGGCCGTCGGGGCTTGATCTAAGGATGAATAGTTGCTGAATGGATCTTCAAGGGGCGTTGGGCTTGATCTTGAAGAATGGGTGTATGGGTTTGTTGAGGTTGTTGATCCAAAGGGCCGTTGGGGCTTGATCTTAGGATGAACGGATGATGAATGATGAACACTTTCTTCAAGGGGCCGTCGGGGCTTGATCTTGAGTTGGTGGGAGTTCTTCAAGGGTCTTCGGGGCTTGATCTTGAATGTTGATGGATGAGCGGATCTTCAAGGGCTTTTGGGCTTGATCTTGAAGAACGGTTGGTTTTCTTCAAGGGCCGTCGAGGCTTGATCTTGAATGAACAGTTGGTTTTCTTCAAGGAGGCTTTTGGGCTTGATCTTGAATAATGGTTGTGTGGACTTCTTCAAGGGCTTTTGGGCTTGATCTTGAAGGTTGATGGATGAGCGGATCTTCAAGGGCTTTTGGGCTTGATCTTGAAGAACGGTTGGTTTTCTTCAAGGGCCGTCGAGGCTTGATCTTGAATGAACAGTTGGTTTTCTTCAAGGGGGCTTTTGGGCTTGATCTTGAATAATGGTTGTGTGGACTTCTTCAAGGGCTTTTGGGCTTGATCTTGAAGGTTGATGGATGAGCGGATCTTCAAGGGCTTTTGGGCTTAATCTTGAAGAACGATTGGATGTGTGGATTTGTTTGTGCTGTTGATCCAAAGGGCCGTTGGGGCTTGATCTTAGGATGAACGATGAACACTTTCTTCAAGGGCCGTCGGGGCTTGATCTTGAGTTGGTGGAAGTTCTTCAAGGGCCGTCGGGGCTTGATCTTGAAGGAGGATTTGACGAAGAATGAAGAGTGCTTTCTCCATTCTTCGGGATTCTTGGGAATTTGGGGGTTGGATGCTTGAGAGCTTTAGAGTTTCAAAGCTTCAAGGATTTTGGATGTGTGGGGAGTATTCTCTTCCATTTTGGGAGTAGAGAAATGTATTTGTGAATTGGTGTCCCCCTTCCTCTTGATGGAGAAACCTATTTATAGGCTTTGAGAGTGAATCACCACCATTCATTTTTTTGGTGAAGTGAGTGGATGATGTAGGTGAAGTGAATGGAGGTTGTAGGTGAAGTAAGTGGATGTTTGTAGGTGAAGTAAGTGGATGTTGTATGTGAAGTAAGTGGATGATGTAGGTGAAATGAGTGGAGGTTGTTGGTGAAGTGAGGGAATGATATAGGTGAAATAAGTGTTGTAATTTTAATACATTGGTTAACATTTACTTCACTGAAATTTCGATGTTTACAGTTGACCTACTAGTTTATGTTGCTCTTCGGCATGTCCTGCTCATCTGTGTTGCGGTTAATACACATGGTTCATTTTGTGTTGCTTGTTGTCGGGCTTGGCGGAGGTTGCCAGTGGAACTCGAGCTGGATTACTCACGTGTTCATCTCTGGGCGTCAGGTGGTTGACTGCTCTGTTGCCTTATAGGAGGATCTCCTTGTTGGCCTAGCCTCGTGTGGACATTTCACCTGAAATGTCCTGAGTGCTCGTTGGAGTGTGGACCTAACCTCGAATGCACACTGACTCATGAGCTGAGTTGGGAATGAATGCTTTTTTGTGCATTTGGGTAGGAGAAAACGTTTCCCCGATGGCCTAAATGAGAGTGCACACTACCCGAAGGCACGATTCGTGGCGGGCTGAGCGACTATTTGTCAGGATGCCGCTAGAATGAGTCACGTTCTTCCGCCCTTGTCTTGCTTCGAGACACCTCGTTTAGGGTGCGCTGCATATCGATGCGCTTGAGGAGTTGGTTCACCAAGGTGGTCTGCTGCATAAGGGCGTTCGTCAAATTGGCGACCTGCTGAGGTAGGTGATGCTCGCCATTTGGATTGGAAGAACTTGGATGATGGGCGTCTCCATGTGTGGTGGAAGTGTAATGGACTGCAGGTACAAAATTCAAGCCTAAAGCAGGCATTCCTGTAGAAAAATGGGGTGTAGGTAACCCTAAATCAATCGCGACACTGATGGTCGGAATCTGGATCGCTGGAGGTGGCCTTGGAATAGATTAGGCCGCAGGCCGGGTTGTCGGAAAGGGTCACGGAGTGCATTGGACCTGCGCCCCTCTTGGCCGTTGGGCTGCCACATCTTGGCCAGTTGGCTGAGTGGCTTGGGCTTGGGCCCATTGAGCTATTTGGTTGGCAGCAGCTGCTGCGTTAAGCTGGGCCTCTTGCCTAGGGCTTGCCGTGGCAACTGCCAAGTTTTAGGCCTCCTGCCCATAGGCTTGGAATTGGACCTAGGCCCTCTATCTAGTGTTTGGTAGGGTGTGGCGCTGCAAGGGCAGCGGTGGTGGAAGTGGCGCCGTGGCTTGATGGCCTCGCTGTGGCTGTTGGGTCACGGTGGTGATGGTGGCGACGTGGCTCCGCGGAGGTGGGGCTTCTCCTGCCGCTGTGTTAAGTCTTGAGGACCTTTGTCGTGGGACTATGTCTTCATATCCACTCTCCGATCTAAATCCTTGCACGTAGGAGGTTCCGTTCATCGTAGTTTTTGAATTTCTTGCCATTGTATCCTTTCTCTAGGGATTGATCAAGAAACTTTTCTAGGAAAAGTTAATTGATACGACGTGTGAGAAATTCAACGTAACAAAAAATTCAAGAAATTAATGCAAGAGGCTTCTTCAAGTATTTTGAATCAGCTCTCAATGAAAGCACTAATTTGTCGATGCAGATTTCCGCTGTCTTCAATCTTGATGAAAATACACCTGCAAAACAATCAACACCTTTGATCAAATACCAAAGCCTTATGCGCCCACGAGGTGGGGGGGGGTTGGGGGTTAGGTCAACAGATCTCCGATGCCTAAGTTAGTTTCTCTGAGAGAGTAAAGTGTTCAGGGCTTTTTAGGGTTGCCAAAGCTCTCAAAATTTGGTAGAATGTGGGGTATTTATAGGGCTAGGGCCGACCATATAGTGTTTAATGGAGAGATATTCTCTAAACATTCCCAAGATGTTTAATAGGAGATAATATCTCGAGATAATGGGGGTAATTATCCCTAATTGATTTAAATTGGGATTACTTACTTGATTGGAGTCAATCTTCAATTAGGAATGTATTAAAGATATGATTTGGGTAATTAATCCTTATCTTTAATTCCTTGTCCAGGGCAGGTGAGCTGTGGGTAGTTGTGTTCAGCTGTTGAGGCCTCCACGAGTGTGAGCTGCGCGTGGAAGCATCTGAGAAGCCTGCCCAGTCTTCTTTGAATAAAAGTCCACGTGTTGCCTCTAGAATTTTTGGGATTATTTTAGGCTCCACATTCTCGTTTGTAAAATGACCGATAAAAACATTAATATATATATATATATATATAATGGGTTGGACGCGAAAAAGTAACATGAGCCCTATATATAATAATAATAATAATAATAATTGGATTGTGAAAGGAATGGACAATATGTAAACCGCCGTATTCCCAAAAAAGACATAAAGATGAGGATAGAAGGAATTCTATAATGAAAAGGTGTGGATGCACTTTCCAATTACAGGATAAGAAGCTAGCAACTGATTATGATTGGATAGTGTTGGTAGTTATTGTAGTGCATAATCTATGCATGTTTATATAGTCCACTGGAACAAACTCACAACTCAATGGGATAATTTTTCACATAACAGCAGAGCATTTGAAGGGTTATTCATTTGTAGAGACTTCATTGTTGGTGAGATTATAATATGGGTGAGAAAAACAAGCCAATGGAGTGAGTCTTTTACTCTTAAGCAAAAAGGGTGAAACTTCCATAATATCCAAATTGCCCTTCTCCTATTTGTTGACACACTCTATAATAGGTGGGTTCTACTATTTGTCCACATTTGTATTTGAGATTAAAGTGTGTCACCCGTTAGTTTTGACTCTAAATAGCATCACCCAAAAATATATAAAGGCACCTTTGTTAAGTTCGTAGTAGGATTTTCTTCCCTCCAAAATTTCTTCTCCTTCAGTCCCTCTTATTTGAACAGTCACGATTAAGCTGCGTCAACATTGTATTGACTTGTTTATAGGAAGAAAAAGAAAAAGAGAAAAATGAGAAAGAAGGGGAGGAGATCTGAAGAAGCGAGAATCCCACTTAGTTCTTGACTTAAAGTGGACATCATTAATTTAAACATTGAAATGTAGCAGGACTCGCACACATCCTTCTGCTTATAGTAAGAAAATGAGAAGTAGTATCGTGAAGACTTGTAACTCAAGTGATCAGGATAAAAAGGAGTATGACCTAAACACGCAAGAAGATACTGATATTTTTTAAAGTAAATTCTTTCAAAACGAGCAGAAAAATCAAGCAGAGGTGTGACTCTCCAAGCCTCACTTGAATTGCTTCAGTCTTCCCCCTTGATTAGAGCAAATTCAAGTTAAGAGATTGACTTATTTTTTTATACAATGATATATATTCACGATAAAAAGCAAAAGAAATAAATATTAGTAACAAACACGTCATTCATGATATTTGAATATAATACATCTCACAAATAAAAAGCCCACCCATGATTGCAAAGCCCAGCCCACAAAAACATTTGGGGTCAGAGATGAAATTATAAGCCCGTGGTAACCCAATGCCAAGATTGCAACTAGCATTCCGTAACTGCGCCCCTTATACCCGCCAAAACCACCATCTTCTTCCCCTCTCTCTCTCCAAACGACCAACCACCATGGCGTTCAAGCTTCTTGTTTCTTTGCTCTGCATTCTGATCTCCACCGCCGTTTCACAACCGTATTCTCCTCCGTATCCCCAAGAACTCATCAATTCCATCAGCCCGACTCTCTCACCTTCTTCTTCTTCATTCCCTCCGGCCCCAACAGCTTCAACCGAGTCATTTCAGACGACTTCCCTCGTCCCGGCGCTCTTTGTCATCGGAGACTCCTCCGTCGACTGTGGCACCAACAACTTCCTCGGAACCTTCGCCCGCGCCGACCGCCTCCCCTACGGTCGAGACTTCGATACCCACCAACCCACTGGGAGGTTCTGCAATGGCAGAATCCCTGTCGATTATCTTGGTAAATGTTGCTTCTTTTAACCATTTTCTTGCATAAATTCTAGTTTTTTTCATCTTGGATTTTTATCTAATTATTGATTCATTTAAAAAAATATATTTATCTTTCTAAGAAGTGCAGAGGCTGAGATGATTTCTTGATTTTTTTTTGGAACCCCAAATGGAAGAAATCTAAAATTCAAGCATTTTTGTCCACCAATTTTCATATCTTGAAGGACTTAATTGATTTCTGAGTGTGTTTTCTTGAAAAAAAATTGTTTCTGATAAAGTCAAAATTTTTTTTTTTGGTGAAATGATAAAGTTCAAATTTGGTGAAATGATAAAGATAAAGATTTTCTTTTAGAAGTGTTTTTATCTGTGGAATTTTCTATCAGCGCTCCGTCTCGGGCTTCCTTTCGTACCAAGTTATCTTGGGCAGAACGGAAGAGTGGAGGAGATGATTCACGGATTGAATTTTGCGTCTGCCGGTGCCGGAATTATATTCACCAGTGGCTCAGAATTGGTATGCCGGAATCATTTTTCAGCAGTTTTATATAGCCTCTTCAATTAATATGTTTAATTTGGCTTTTACGGCTTCTTAATTATAGTACTAATGTAATTTGTTTACAGGGTCAACATGTTTCTTTCACTCAGCAGGTTCAGCAGTTCACAGACACCTATCAGCATTTTATATTTAGTTTGGGAGAGCAAGCTGCAATTGATCTCGTCTCAAATTCGGTGCTTTACATTTCGATTGGAATCAACGACTACATACATTACTATTTGCGTAACGTATCCAACGTGCAAAATCTGTATCTGCCCTGGGGTTTCAATCAGTTTTTAGCATCCACATTGAGGCAGGAAATTAAGGTGATGATCTCCTAAAGTCCTAATCATACTGAATTATTTTCCCAATTTGGAGTTTAACCGATTACTTTGAGATTTTGGTCTTTTGATGGTGCAGAACTTGTACAACATAAATGTGAAGAAGGTGGTAGTGATGGGGTTGGCACCGATAGGCTGTGCGCCTCACTATTTATTTCAGTACAGAGTGAAGGATGGTCAATGTATTGAGGAGATAAACAACATGGTAATGGAGTTCAACTTTGTGATGAGGTATATGATCGAGGAGCTACGTGAAGAGCTTCCCGCTTCCAACATTATCTTCTGCGATGTGTTTGAAGGTTCCATGGATATTATAAAGAACTTTGCACGTTACGGTGAGAGGTTTTTATAAACTTGTTAATTCCTGTCAGTTACCAAAAAAATTGTTAGAGGTGCCTGCATGCTAATGATGTGTGAATTTTATGATCTTGTTCAGGTTTCAATGAAACTACTGATGCTTGCTGTGGGTTGGGGGAGCACAAGGGTTTTGTCATGTGTTTATCGCCGGATATGGCGTGCAATGATGCTTCTAATCATGTCTGGTGGGATCAGTTCCATCCAACGGATGCGGTCAATGCCATCCTAGCGGATAATGTGTGGAATGGCCTGCACGCGAAAATGTGCTATCCGATGAACTTAGAGGATATGGTAGTATCGAGCTCCTATTGATTCGACGGCCATACTCTCTATAAAACAAAGATCAAACGTAGAAGCTTCTCGAAATTTTTGGAACTATACTTTTTGCATCAACTGCTTACAACATTAAATTGTACATTTCAGTATACAAGTGGCATTTCTAAATTTTCAACTGACTTCAGTTGGCAACTAAAAGTGCGTTGTATATTTTTCGCTTTTGGTAATGCAGTGGGATCCGATTTGGAGGTAGATGTTAGTGTTGTCTTCAATGTCTGTTTTCGGCACGAAACGAGGAAATGAGGTTGTGATGTCCCTGCATTGAATGAAAAACTCAATCAGCTTCGACATATCTTTTTGATGGTTGTAAATTTACAGAACTGTAATGAAATCGAAAATTAGATATTGGTAAAGGTGGAATTATGGCTTCAACAATGTCATCAGATAGGATCAAGTCCGACATCGAAAAAACTCTTGAATGCTATCACCCCATCATCTTTCGTGTCGAACATATGGAAGACCTATTAGGTTAAGCAAAGCAAAGATAAGTGTCCCTGAAAACAAAACAGAATGTTTAGAGTGGCAGTAAAAGATCGGCATTCCAAATTTAGAAAAACCGAGGCCACGAAGCTCACACTATCTGCAAACAGACTTTGTGTTTTGCTGTTCCTGAACAATCCTAGCCGAAACTCTTCCTGGAAACGATGCGTAAATTGATACCGAATTACCAAATGAAAATCTTATAACATAAATTAGTAACCACTGTAGATTTAATAAACTAATAGAAGAGATGAAACTTGTTACTTTGCTTATAAGGTCATCATCAACAATATAACTGCTCAACTTCCTGAACAACTCGTACAAATTTTTTACCTAATTTACCTTAACTGCAAGAACCAAAGAATGTAAATGTACACGGTATTAACAAGTAAATTAAAACCAAATGAAGAAGCTTAATAACAGCAGGTTTGAGAAGCAAGAACTGCAAAGTTTTCACATTCAAGTCTCTGCTTCAAGCAAACACAGCCCATCCGAAACACTTTACGTGAACGAAAAACTGTTCTTCTGCAATGCGAACGCGAACTATGTCCGTTGCTCTGATGATTCAATAGCTTTCAACGTAAGAGCCTGTTGGGATGTTTTTGTAGTTGTACAATGTGCTTTAGAATAGGGTAGGTCACACATTGTCAGCAAGGAAGCATGTTCCAACCTCACTTCTTATTCCTATTGATCATGGGAGGAAAACTAGACCGAGTTAGTGTCGGAAACACGTTTTGAATTAGTAAAATTTGAGTAACAAATCTTGTATCATTTTTTCAGAGGTGGCATATTGCAACTCGTATAAGTTATGATGTCACATATGAAGTTTTCCCAAAAGATTTTACTGGCAGAACTTACTGCTTCTGTGCATGCTTCGAATACTGAATTCAAATCTCATAAACAACAATTACTGAATGAACAACGAAGGTCATTATTTTGTATGGCTTATGTTGAAACAAGTGTTTGCTAATGGAAACGATGACGACATTGCATATGTGCAGACGCTAATGTGACAATTAACTAATAATTCTATAAGAATTGCATACATTATTGGTGTGGGTTTATGGAATATTACATGAAAATAGAATTGTGAGTATAGTGTCATATGCATTCGACGTGAAGAACAAATTAAGTGCCGGCTGTCGTGTCGGCAAAACGAAAAAAGAGTTGGTGATTCAAAAAAAGGTTTTTATTGCGCATTCTTCGACTACCTGACGCACTCCCCCTCCCTCCTTTATCCGGGCTTGGTGAATATAGTGTGAGGACTTAAATATCTTTGCTCACAAATTTGGTGGAAATTCTAACTTGCGGTAAGCATTTGCACATGCCGTGATTGAAGAACAAAGAAATTTCATAGCAATGGTCACTGTTTTGAGTTTGGGATTTGGGAATCTGGTTCTTCTCTTTAACTTCTCTTGAAAATATTCCTTTAACCATAAAAGAAAGGGTGATTTTAAGACACGTGAATGTAGATGACGATTAGTTACCGTTGATTGATGTGAGTCTCTCGATTAATCACCATATCAAATTAGGTATCCGGTGCTATTGTTTCCTTGAGAAGATAACATGTATGATCGATAATCTCTTAGCAAAACTTGGAAAGAAAAGAAATATCTGTTGCCAAGGCAGACTTTGTACCAAATTTGGCTATTCTCAACAATGTTTCCACCTGACCAGAAAAAAGAGTGCTTCAACAAAAAAGTTCAATGTTGTGTATCCCTCCTCAGTGCCAGTTAATCTATACATTCAGTTCTTCTTAGCAAAGAAATTAACAAACATTTAACTTTCAACCAGAGTTGGAAACAGGGATCCATCCGATCCTAGTAAAATAAGGAGGGAATTCTAAACCAAAATTTACACCTTGATTACAGTTAAGCAGTTAAATTACACAACACACTGTGAAACACCAAGGGTCTTTATTACCGAAAACCTAGTCGGAAATCTACCATGCCGTGCTTGATCTCAATAAGGACTATGCTATGAACTGCAGCCTTAATAGTTGCTTTTGGTTCTTATCCTCCTCTATGTACCATGGCTTTACACAGGCTGGTTACTTGACATGTCTAGCGTTCGAGAAGAAATAACAGTGACAGTGTCTGGGTTTTTGAAGTATGATTATGTCTAGTCTTGAACTTCACTGTTGAGCACGAAGCTGGGAAATTGCACGGTAATGTCCCTAGAAAATGGAAGCCGAATTTAGAAGCATGTAACTTTGAGGAAATGTGTTTGTTGAATAGCATATTATGTTAACTGAAAAAGTGAAAGTCCGCTTTGTAAATGGATAACTTTCTCTGTGGAGCTATACCAAGAGCGAAGAATTGTAGAATATGATTTCTTGTTTCGATGGATAGCATAATGAGTAAGTGTCAAATAGATGAAAGAAAGCAGTACTAGTGACATTGATAGGGTTTTCGGACTCACATTAGATATGGAAGAGTCATATTCTTTATCAGAGATGGATGCTTTGCTACAAATTCCTTCCATTCTTCTTGATCAATTCTGCCATCTCCGTTTAAATCTGCCTCCGTTATTGTCTTTAGAAAAACACGAAGAACAATGTGATTAAAATTAGAATGACGAGTAAAACTAGAACTGTTGGCTGAAAAAAATACAGAATCTGAGCAAACAAGAACGTATAATAACAAAGTGTAGAGTAATCAAAACCTTCTCGACAATTGATTCAATAACATCATCGGAAAGGTCCAGATCTGATTCATTCAAAAGGGCTGACACCATCTGCTTCAACTGCCAAGGTAATATTATCGACAACACCCATAGAGAGGTAAAAAGAATCAGATTTGCAGATATTTCATGTTTCAAAATAAAAAGTAAGAAACTTTAACTGCAGTGTTCATATCATTTGAAGAAAAAGTGGTCAAGAAAAATAGCAGGGGATTTACCTCATAACGCTCAATGTAACCAGTCTGTCGTAGATCATACAATCTAAATGCGACTGCAAAGCATAAACTTTAAGAATTCCGTGGAAAGAACACAACTATTAATTGTACACACACAAGCAGCAAAAAAGATAGATACCAACGTGAAGAAAAAAGAAACACAAATCACGATCTTCTGTTATCATACATGAGATTTTGTCTGCTTCGGAAGAACGTGGATGAAAAATGCTTAATGACCGAACAAATTCTCCAAACTCAATGACCCCATTGTGCTTGACATCAAACAAGTCAAAAACCTGCAATGACAAAATGCAGATTGTTAGAATATATCTTAAAATCTCGATTGGAATAGGCTCCTTATCTAGGCTATGTGGTTTATATTAGTGTGGTTCAACAGCTCAATTCTTTTTTTCTGGAAAATACTTGGTTTAAAATGGCTAGAAAAGTGAACAACCATGATATTGTTGAAAAGCTCCTCGTTTAATTGTTTTAGGCTAGCTAAACCATACGAACAGTCAGATTGTTTCAGTATGATTGTTGTGACAGTGCATGCATTGGAACGCTGAGCTAGACTGGGATGCTCTAGATTTCAAGAAGTTTTTACAGTAGCGAATCCAGGGATTTATGGACTTCTTGCGCTGCCAGCGCGCATAAATGGCCCTTTTATTTTGTATGCAAAATTTGATCTAAAGTGGACAATCTCACCAAACATTACAATTATGTATACGCACCCGATCTGCAAAAAGGTTCTGCTTACTGCTGCTTTGAAAGAGTGCAAGTTGGAATTCTTCCTGTTCATATCATGTCAAAGATTCAGTGCATGAGTAACATAAGAAAATGAAACAGAAAGATTCTTTCGACTTTCAACTTCAACAACATAATCTCTATAGCTCTCCGAGTGTAGAGCAAACAAAATGTCATCTCAAGAATGTGTGTCAGAAGATCAAAATGCAACCTTAGGAATAAATACCTTGTGTAGAAGACCATCTTTAATTATGGAACTGCATAGTTTCTTAAACAGTTCATACAAGGCCTCCACTTCATTTACCGTAACTGTTAAACAATCGAAAGTACCAGATTCAGAAATTTGATAAGTGCACTGTACAGATTATGATCAACCGTATATTCCATACAAACAACAACCAGTACCAAATATACAAAAAATTCAAATAAATAAGGGCATGGTGTATGGACGATGGTGGTTGTGGTGCACCTACCACCTGTGCAAGCCCATCAACAGAAAGTGAAAGAGGGCGGAGTTGTATGGTAACGCAATAGAAATGAAGCAATCAACATTATTAGTAAAGTAACAAACATCCGGAAATAGCACGCAGAGTGCGTGTTGTTGCAGCTGCAACATTTGGATTTGGATAGCATGAGCATTGACGAAGGTGCCACAAAAGCCAAGGCATCACTCCGTAGAATTGTAGCATGTGAAGATAAAGGCACAGGCACAGAATATACTTCCTCCTCCAAACTTATAAAAGAGACGGGCTAGAGGAAGATCATCAGCAATAAAAAGCTATATGCGCAGCATAGTGATGGCTTCGTGTTCATGTACAATGCTGGAAATAAATATTGGATGACTCATGCATCTCAATCAACATAACTTTGTTAAAGTTCCACAGCGCAACTCTTGGAATTATACACTTACAAGCAGTTTCTGAAGCAAGAATTCTAGGGTCCTCATATCCAAGTCTATCAACTCTCGAACTCTTGAAGCAAAAGCAGTGCAGCATGATTCCGATAGAAGACTATCGAGATTTAATTTTTATCTGCAGAATCCAGGTGAAAAAATACATAAAAAATAGGTATTTTGAGAAGTAATCTTCAAAACGTTTCCGGAAATCATAACTTCCTACAACAGTATCCCAGAAAAGAATTAAAAAAAAAAAAAGAAAAAACACACCAAGAAACTGAGATTCATTTTCGGATCCCGCCAATGTAAACAATATTTTAGTTGGTCAACTATTTTCTCGGTAAGCACCTGTTAAATACATACAAATATATACACACACACATACAAATATTCATACATATATATATATATATATATATATAAACACACACACACACGCACACACATATATACTCACACACACAAACTTCAACCATTGGTGTTGTAGAGACTAGATCCAGCAAACCAAACAAATTTGGAAAAAAAAGCATTTGTCGAACTGTTTCATTAAAATCAAGAAATCAAATTAAGCAGTTTACCAAAAAAAAAAAAAAAAAAGAAAAAAAGAAAAAAAAGAAATCAAATGAAGCAAATAGTTTGTAAAACATTCAGAAAGGTCAACCTGCAGCGCAATTCAGAGCACTCTCTGATCGTCTTAAATCAAAACCAAGATTTTCACCCTCCAGATTCAAGTAAACACCAAATTGTTTTCAAATCCCATTCTTCCTCTCTGTCAAAAATAAAACAAAACTAATTTCTACCTACTAAAAAGTTGAAACAACAGATGCATGCAAACCAGCTGTAGTTTCCACCCACCAAAACTCCCAGAAGCAAAAAAGCGGAAAGCAGATACTAGGTCCCAGAGAACTATGACTGAAAAGAAGCCGTAGATATGCTTTAGAATCCGTGGGGCTCACCTGGGGTAGTACGTTTCTGGTGTTCTCAAACCTCAAAAGCACTTGCCTTCAAAAGCACTTTCCTTCAAAGCTCAAAAGTACTAGTGGGACTCCATATACATACATTAGTACATTAATAGTCCAAGCCATCTTCCTCTCATTATTTTGATTCCATTTGTCTTAAAATATTCAATCAATCCCTTTCTTCTACCTTCATTATTTACAGATGAATCTAGATGGCCATGTATCTATTTATTTAATCGTTTTTGTTATGGTACGCCGACCAGATTAATACTATATTTATATATAAAGCCAACAACCCAATAACGCGCGTGGATGGGTTGGTCACGTAGTTGACAATCAGTCCTGTGATTAGCTGTTTTGGATTTTATAAGGACACGTCATCAGTGAGCGTTGAATTTACGTGGTGTCCTTTTTTTTTTTTTTCCAAGGGAAGAGGAGAGCCGTTGGATTTTGAATTTGGGGTTCGTGGCATGTTCCGAGTTTCCGAGTTACGAACTCGTTCGTCGTCCCAGTCGCTCTCTCCTCCCAGAAATACACAGACATGGCGGTCTCTCTGCTTCACCGGTAATCTCTCCGCTCTCGTCGTTTTCGTTTCCTCGTTGATCTCTAAATTATACAAAATCATATTTTTATTTCTTGTAATTTTTCGTAATTATTTGTTTGATTAGGTTTTAGTAAGTTGCGAGTGTTGGGTGATGCAATGGAAGTTGATTTAGTTACGAGTCCAATGCAAGAGGAAGATGCTTTTGGAGTTGATGAGAATTATCAAAATGTAAGCTTCAAGTTCAAATTTTTAATTTTTTTTTTTTTTAATTGAGCTGTGCAAGTATTTTTCATGCAATTTATAGCTTATTTATTTATATACCGGTAGCTTGATTAGGTTGAGGGTTTAGGGTTTATGGAGCAAATGAGTTTCCTTTTCGGGAAATTGGCTGAATTTTGAAGAGCTGCAGTGTATGATTGAACTGTGTTCGTGTCAATAAGTCAGACATTTGTAGCTAGTGTGGATTGTGACCTACTTATTCGTGTGTTTAAATACGCAATAATCGACAGGGGTATTCTCGATTGCTGCCAGCATTGGTACGTGCTTTAGTGTGGCTTTGTGTGTGTGTGTGTGTGTGTGTGTGAGAGAGAGGGAGAGAGAGAGGAATTTTGTTTTATGACATGGGTTCATCTGGGGGTTTTTCAGGTTCTGTTTCACATGCATTGACAATTGGGCTACCATTACAAACCTCTGCCCGCTTTGCCAGAATGAATTTCAAATGATCACATGTGTTCCGGTGAGTGATGCAAATAATTTTGTACAAATGATCAAATGATCACATGTGTTCATGTGGAATTGGAATTCAAAGATTTTGTACAAATAATTTTCAACCAAGACTTTTTTTTTTATTTTTTTAATTATTGTGGACAAGTTTCAACAGAGACTAATTTTTCCATATTCATCTGTGCAGTGACGATGATTGGTGTATTGAAGGGAAGAATAACACTCTCTCATTTCCATCATACTACATTGATGAAAATGTAATTATCCTTGCATGTTTTCTTTTTAAAATCTTCTTGCAATCCTGATAATTTTTTTCCAAGGTTTTTTTTGGTTTAAAGTACTGACTTTCACGTAGCAGTGTTGTCAGGTGATTCTACATATTTCACTTGTGGTTTATGGTTCTAAATTTGTTTTCCCTTAAATGACTCTATGTCTGAATCTTCTGAGTCATGACCCATGAGTTGTGAATTTTTTCCGTTCCCCGGGTTTCTTATGTGCCATGCATTGATCTCTTCTGAAGACCCAGTACTTTGGTTTAACAACTGAGACGTGGTGTTGTGCTTATAAGCATCATTAGGGTAATCTGTAGCCATTCCCGTTATATCAAGATGCAGCCGAGAGGAATTGAATTAGTACTTTATACGGGATATGGACCTTCTAATATGGGAATGCTATGTGCTCCACAAAAAAGATGAGTTTGGATGTTAGCGTGGTTTTTAAGTAATGGTTAGACTAAGGTTAATTCTATGTTTTGAAGTCATTCCCATTTAGGTCTGATTAGGATCCCTCTGTTTCCTTTTCTCCCCAATCCTGTAATTTGCGTCTTTATTTTTTTCTTCAAGTTTACTTTTCAACATTTGATCATTTGATACCAAATTCTTATGTTACTTTATCATCTTGTAGGCAGTTGCATGCTTGGATGGAGATGGCTGCAAAATTCGAAGTGGATCAGTGGCTATTGAGGGAGATTCCAATCTTGATACATCAATTGCTTGTGATTCATGTGAACTATGGTAAACAATCAAGCAAAGTGATATAGGAACTCTTTCCATTAAAATAAATGCTTTTATAAAAAATTAGTTTCTAATTGCTTTTTGACTTGAATCAAAACAGGTACCATGCTTTCTGTGTGGGATTTGATCCGGAGGGCACATCTGAGAGTACATGGTTATGCCCAAGGTAGGTTACATGGGGATCATTCCTTTGTTCATGGGTGTTGCACTGTTGCCTCCTTTGCTGAACCTAGTCTGTGGCTTTTCCTTATAGATCCTGTTTCGTTATAATATCAATAACAACTTGTCATGGGCCGCACCCTAAGTCAAAGGAGATAATTAGGTTGTCGGTCCTTTTCCTTTCTATGGGAGCTTTGTTTTTGTTGTGGAGATCCCTATCTTGAGTTGTCAACCAATTAGATTAAACAGTCAAGTCAGGTAATGATACCATCTAATTTGTGACTCGGGGACAAAGAGAACCATTCATGTTTACAATTGCTGCCAAGGAACAACCCCTATAGGTTTGGACTGATTAGTGAGCTTTGGCGATCCATATTTATCCACCTCAAGATTTCTAGGCATAATGGATTACACATTTCTCTTTTTTTCCCTAAAATTCCTATGTCCCCTCTTTTCATATAACTTGTCATACTGATTTTTTTAACTAATCCTAATTTTTGGTTTGTTTTGTCTTTCTGTAGATGTTTAGTTGATGAAATGACAAAAAAATCAGATGCAGGTTCAGTCCAGAGGTCTAACAAACAGTATGGTCCAGAAAATCCTAATGGTGAACCTGAAGCTGAGGATAATCTTTCTAGAAAGGTATCTGTTTCTGTTGCTGATAGTGGTGAGACAGCTGTTGTGGTCTCAATGGCTGGCAAAAATCATGGGTATGGAAAACCAAGTGAGAGCATTTTGCCAACCGGTGAAGTTGGAAAGGACCTGAAGTCTAAAGAATTGGTATTGTCTACTGACGATAGCCACAAATTGGAAAAACCTTCCTGGGAAAGAAACATTAACCAACCAGTTCTTGAAGCTCAGCAACTAAAACTGTCCCTATCCAGTGATACCTCCAGTTTACCTTCAAATTCTTTAGCACCAAAGCAGTTAAGGATGAGTACTGATGGATCAACGAATGAGCCTAGTAGTTTTGATGGCATCACGAATGCTTCTGGAAAGACCTTTGATGAATCACAGATTAGTAACAAACAGTCTGACAATGACTCCAATGTGGGCCTTCATCTTGGGTTATCCGTGGGCTCGTTTTTGTCTGGTAATCTACATATTTTTCCTTTTTTTCCTTTATTTCAAGTTAGGATAGCATATAACTGAAGTTTTCATATGCTTACCTGATGTAGAACTGCGGTAGTATTAGGATAAACAAGGGTGTGACGGAACCGAGAAGAGGTAAAAGATCGAGGAGACGAATTAGGGGTCGAAGAGACGAAAGGAAAGGGGAAGAAACCAGGGAGTTCTAGTAAGGAGATTTTTCATTCATCAAAGTTAAATTAAAAGATTACAATCTGCTCTATTTATAGAGACAAACTTTGAAAAATAGGAAAGCAAAATCTAATAAGAAATCCTTTAACAACGGGGAAATCTTAACTAAACTAGGAAAACTAATAAAAGGAAAGCTAATCCAAGTAGAACTAGGAGATGCATTCTGCATCATTCTCCCCTACTGAAAAGAACTCGACACAGGCGAGTAAGCCAATATTAAGGACAACGACGACGTTTGTAAGTATGGATGATAGGAGGACAGGATGCTGCCAAATCAAGATCCTTAAGAGCATCCTGATAATGGTGCAAAAGACTGGAATCCAACTCACGAAATTCTGCTTCTGTAATCCAAGTATCCTCAGTAGCAGGCTTTCCCACCCAACGAACCAGATAACGGGTCAATCCTCCAGTAGACGAAGTCACAACTTCATGATCCAAAACGTCAGCAATCTGCTCTGTAGGGGCAGAAATAGTGGACGGAAGTCGTGGTGCCATAGGAGGAATGGAACTTTGAGCAACATCCATCGACATCGGTGGAGAAAAGGTTCCCCGATAAGGAGATAAGTCAGAGACATTAAAAATGGGACTGATCTGCATCGTGGCAGGTAACTCAATCAAGTAAGCATTGGACCCAAGCTTCCTAAGGACACGATAAGGACCCATCGAACGAGCATGAAGCTTTTTAAAAGCTTGCTTAGGAAAACGCTCAGGACAAATCCGCACCATAACAAAGTCCCCTTGCTGAAATTCCTGGTGACGACGATGAGCATTAGCTGCCAGTTGATAACTGTCGGTGTGCATGGCTATTTGCCGACGGACGTCATCATGCAGTTGTCTAATATGTTCAGCAAACGACGTAGCAGAGTCGGAGGCGCGGGCAGCCATAGGAAGAGCAACTAGATCCACAGGTGATCGGGGAGAAAACCCGTGAACAACCTCAAAAGGACTTTTACCGGTGCTTCGATTAACTGAGTTGTTATAAGCAAACTCAGCCACAGGCAACAAGAGATCCCAATTACCAGGCTTATCCCCAACTAAACAGCGAAGTAAATTTCCAAGACTGCGATTAACCACCTCCGTTTGTCCATCCGTTTGGGGATGGAAAGCGGAGGAAAACTTCAAAGTAGTCCCGAAAAGCTTCCACAAGGTTTTCCAAAAATAACTAACAAATTTGACATCACGATCAGAAACAATAGATACAGGGAGGCCATGCAAACGAACTACGTCCTCAAAAAATAATTTGGCCACATGAGAAGCATCGGTATTTTTGGCACAAGGTAGAAAATGCGCCATTTTAGAAAAGCGATCAACTACGACAAAGATAGAGTCATGGCCGCGACTAGTCTTAGGTAAACCAAGCACAAAATCCATACTAATATCCTTCCAAGGAGCATGAGGGATTGGTAGAGGGGTATACAGACCTGTGTTACGTTTGCGAGATTTAGCTAGCTGGCATGTGCGGCATTGGGAGAGGAGCTGAGCAACATCACGTTTTAACGACGGCCAATAGAAACGATCTTCCATCAAGGCAATGGTTTTATCTTTGCCAAAATGTCCAGCCAAACCACCACCATGTAGTTCCCAAATAAGGAACTCACGAAGAGAAGTACGAGGAATGCATAATTGGGTTTTCCGAAACAAGAACCCATCCCTTGTAATAAAGTCCACATACTCACGACGGTTACCGTTGGAAACCTCATGGAAAATAATTCCAAAATCTGGACACGACGAATAATCGGCCTTAATACGATCAAACCCAGTGACCTCAACTGTCATTGTGTGCAAAATAGTAGCCACGCGACTAAGGGCATCAGCTGCCTTATTGTCAATACCTGGACGGTGTCGTAAAACAAACGTAAAGATCTGTAGATATTCGGACCACTTGACATGTCGACTGCTAATGGTGCGTTGAGAGTGGAGATATTTCAAAGCTTGATGATCGGAATATAGCACAAATTCGTTTGGCAATAGGTAATATTGCCAATACCGAAGGGCCTGTACCACAGCATAAAACTCCTTGTCATAAGTAGAATACCGTTGCTTTGCTGCATTAAGTTTCTCACTAAAGTAGGCTACTGGATGTCCTTCTTGACTAAGCACGCCACCAATTCCGACTCCGGAAGCGTCGCATGCCACTTCAAAGACTTTATTCAAATCAGGATGTCGAAGAACAGGTGCTTGACTCATCTTTTGCTTCAAAATTGTAAAGGCCGTGGTAGCTGCAGGGGTCCAAAGAAACGCTCCTTGTTTCATGCAATCAGTTATGGGTGCCATAATAGTACTGAACCTGGGAATAAATCGGCGATAAAAAGAGGCGAGACCATGAAAGCTGCGTGCCTCTGTTAATGTCGTAGGTGTTGGCCAACGAGTAATAGCCTCCACTTTAGCGGGATCGGTGCTAACCCCAGCTGCAGAAATATTGAACCCCAAAAATAGAACTTGCGGTTGAAGAAACGAACATTTGGGTAAGTTAGCATACAGTTTTTCCGCTCGTAATGTAAAGAATAGTGAGTGAAGATGTTTGAGATGTTCTTCTCGAGAGTGGCTGTATACGAGGATGTCATCAAAATAAACCACCAGAAATTTGCCAATATAGGGCCGTAACACATGAGTCATCACCCTCATAAACGTGCTAGGTGCATTGGACATGCCAAAGGGCATAACAAGCCACTCATATAAACCATCAGGGGTTTTAAACGCGGTTTTCCACTCATCTCCTTCACGAATTCGGATTTGATGGTAACCACTGCGAAGATCTATCTTAGAAAACCATTGGGAACCAGCCAAATCATCCAACATATCCTCAAGTCGCGGTATGGGGAAACGGTACTTAACTGTAATTTTATTTATGGCGCGACTATCCACACACATTCGCCAGGAGCCATCTTTTTTTGGTGTAAGAAGAACTGGAACAGCACAAGGACTTAAACTATGACGAATAAAACCCTTAGCCAACAACCCCTGGATTTGTCGATTTAATTCCGCTCGCTCAGGTGGGTTCATACGATAATGGGGAAGGTTAGGAAGTTGTGAACCAGGAACGAGGTCAATGGCATGTTGAATCTCTCGTGCTGGAGGTAGTTCATCTGGTAAGTCTTCAGGTATAACATCAGAGAATTCCGTGAGTAGCTGCCGTATAGGTTCGGCCAATGGAGTGGGGGTACATTCAGAGACCGGTTTAAGCAAGAGAGCAAAGACCACCCCCGTGTCTTGTAGTTCATGTGTAAAATCTACAGGTGATAAGATACTTAAACGATGCTCCGAAGCCTTCCCGTTTAAGGACATTGTCGGTTGAACCTCCTTAATTGGTTTGATGGCTGGATTGGAAGGCTTGAGTGTTATATTTTTCCCTTCATGTTGGAAAGTATAGGTGTTCTCTCGGCCGCAACTTTTGACGTTACGGTCATAAAGCCAAGGCCGGCCTAGTAGCACATGTGCAACACTCATAGGTAGGATATCACAATAAAGTTTCTCGTGACAGGGACCCAATTGAAGAGGAACAAGACATCTTTCAGTAACAGGTAACCTAGTTTTATCTACCCAGCCGACTTGAAAAGGATGGGGATGTGGTTCGGCCTGAAGGTGAAGACGATCGACGGCAGCTTTAGAAATAACATTCAGCGTACTTCCCCCATCAATAACTAGCTGGCAGCGAGTGGTACCGCAAGGGACATAAGTCTGGAAGATACTTGTGCGTTTCCATGAATCAGGAGGTGGAGGTGTAGATGCTGAATAACTACAACGCATAACACTCAGTTGTTGCAATGCTTCTTCCTCACAACAATTATCAAGGTCGGGATCATAAATAGGTTCAAGGGGCTCCACATACTCATCCACACAAGGGTCCTCAGTGTTGGAGCTAATATTTAAAGTTCTGTGAGGGCAACGGGAGGCGATGTGGCCCTTAGCATGGCAACGATAGCATTCGAGGTGAGTAGCCGTGGATGGGGCTGGTCCTTTCTCTGTGGCAGGTACCGTGGGAGCATGTGGACCAGTGATGCCATATTTGGAACTTGGATTACTGCGGTTTGGAGCAGAGGTGGAAGGATACCCGGAAGTCCCGGTGTACCTACGTTGTGGGCGCAAAAAGGTTTCAGCTTCCAATGCATGGCAATATGCATCTTCCAACGTATACGGACGGAACCGACGGACTTCACGCTTGATATCGTCACGAAGACCATGAATAAAACGAGACATGGTGATGTCTGGTTCTTCACGAAGCCCCGCACGTATTTTGTGTTCAATAAAACGAGCGTGGAATTCTGTAACTGTAACACTTCCTTGTGAAAGGGTCCATAACTGATCATACAATTGATGGCGATAAAATGTAGGAAGATATTGTTCGCGAAGCTTGAATTTCATCTCGTCCCAAAGAGTCACAGGCTGTTGTCCCAGTTGGTATAGTTGCTCCTCCACGGAATTCCAATATTGTCTAGCGGCTCCCTGTAAGGTCATCTTACCAATGCGTATTTTATAAGCATCCGTCAAATCATACCAAGCAAAATAATCTTCCAGGGCTTGGATCCAATCAAGAAACATCGTAGGATCCCCACGACCATCAAAAGTAGGAGCGATAGGTTTGATGTGGCGGATGATCTCGTTGTCAAACTGGCGAGGGGGAGGAGGGTACTGATCATGTGGAGCGGGTGGTAGGTTTAGAGCCTGAGGAGTCCCTGGAGGAGGACCTATTGTATGTTGGTTATAATGGCGTGGCGGCATAGACCCCGTGGAGCTAAGCGGCATTCCGTAGGACACTGCCTTTAATTTAGGATCCACCGGTGGAGTGGGCAAAAGGCCACTTGTTGGTGGTGGCGTCGACGAGCTTGGGATCACGGTGGAGGAAGACGAAGTTGCAGCGTGTTCAACCCGAAAGTGGTTGATAAGTAACTGAACGGAGTTTTGAAGTTTAGTGATGGCAAGGTCCGTCGTTGAACGATGGGCGTGAGCCTGTACCAACTCTTCTTTGAGGTCAGTGCTGAGTTTAGAGAGTTGGGTTTCTATGCCCGCGATATTGTCCGTGACTTTGTTTTGGAACGTATGACATTGGTCTGCAAGGTTGGCCACGGTTTGGGGTGCCATGGCAGGGGTCAACCGCCAACGAAAGGGATTGTAGGCTCTGATTACCAAATTGATGTAGAACTGCGGTAGTATTAGGATAAACAAGGGTGTGACGGAACCGAGAAGAGGTAAAAGATCGAGGAGACGAATTAGGGGTCGAAGAGACGAAAGGAAAGGGGAAGAAACCAGGGAGTTCTAGTAAGGAGATTTTTCATTCATCAAAGTTATATTAAAAGATTACAATCTGCTCTATTTATAGAGACAAACTTTGAAAAATAGGAAAGCAAAATCTAATAAGAAATCCTTTAACAACGGGGAAATCTTAACTAAACTAGGAAAACTAATAAAAGGAAAGCTAATCCAAGTAGAACTAGGAGATGCATTCTGCATCATTACCATGTTCAACTTATTTATTTGTTTTTTATGTTCCTCTAGCTGCTGACATGAATAATAATGACACTGAAGATATAAAGCAGCACAATCCTTCAGAAGAATATTTTTCAAAAGGTATGAAGCTATTTTAAGCATCATTTGTTCTCTCCCCCTCTCCCTCTCTCTCTCTCTCTCTCTCTCTCTGTTTTGGACGGGGAAGAGACCAGAGAGAGTTATTTTTCTAATTAAATACAACAGTCACTCACGTACCATTTGCTTATTGTTGAATGTTTCTAGCTGAGACTCTCATACCAAAAGAAGTGACTGACGATGTGAAGCAGCACGATCCTTGGGAAGGATATTCACCTATAGGTATCTTTATTCATCATTTGCTGTGTTTTCTTTTTGCTTGGGAGTGGAAGCAAAACAAATTTAAAAAATTAAATTGTTTGGTCACCAGTCACTTGTGTGCTTTGCTTAATTATTGAACTGTTTTCAGCTGACGAAATTGTACCAGATGCTAATTTGGATGCCCCTGGATCGACTGCTGGTGGAAAGAGAAAGCGTATTGATTGCAGGTCACTTGTCATTCTTATACGGTTTTCAGCAATTAGTGCTAGCTATGAGCCTCAGGTTTTGTTACTGCTATCCTCAATTCATATGATGTCACCATCAGTCGTGTAATTGTTCTAATATTCCTAAATTATGTCGGCTGTGTTGTGTTTCTTTCTACTACCTCAACTCTGTATGTCACTGATGTTTCTTACTTTATGTTGGACGTGTTGTCTTTCTGTTATCCATAGTAGACCTTGATTCATTCCGCTGGCACGTTCATCGTGTATTAGATTTTGGTTTCGGGGCATCTCTCTTTTTCCTGTCTTTTAGATTCCAGTAAGGTGGTTACTATATTTCTAATTCCATTGTATTATTGTAGTTTGTAGATTAAACTAAATCAGTATGTAGGTTTGGCCAATTATTGTTCTATTCGCATAAAAATGCATGCATGCAACACAAGTTTTCAATTTCTGCTTTATAAATATTCCCCAAAAGCTCTCTTTTATTTCCCTTTGATGCAATGCAAACTCATCACTAAAATATCAAAAAGCATCAACAAAATGTCAGCAGAAGTCAACTCAACTGGTTGAACAAAAATGCAGGTTAATTTTAAGCGGTTTCACTATCCTCACACTTGTATTTTAGCAGCCTTCTATTTTATTGTCTTTTTCCTGAAGAATTTGTAATTCGAATGTCGATTTGCTGGCTTTACATGCTTCATAGCAAGTAGAATAAGAGTTCTGACTTTATTTTTCCTTGACCTTTTGGTAGCGATGACATTCGTATCATTGATGATGATGGAGATACTGACCCTAAGATTGAGACCAAAGTTTCTGCTAAGAAAATCAGAGAGGATGTGAAGACACAACGCATGGCTTCCAATGACCAAGCCAAAGAATCTGTTCCAGATGATTCTGAAAACTGTTCTATCCTGACTGTAGCTCATAAAGATAGCACGTTATCATCTCATCCTGTTGAGGGGAACACCACTTCCGATATAATGAGCATTGTTAGAACTACGAAGCGTAAATCTTCTAAGGGGATTGCACGCTCTAATCCTGCTGATAAATCATCACAAGAACAAGAAACTGTGCCTGGTTTGAGAGTTAAAAAGATCATGAGGAGAGCTGCTGAGGACAAGGACTCGTCTGTGACAGTTCAGACACTGAGAAAAGAAATAAGAGAAGCTGTCGGTAAAATTTCTTAAAAAGTTATTGCCGAAAACCTTTTCAATCCAAAGCTTCTTCATGCCTTTAGGACTGCTGCAGCAGGGGGACCTCAAACTGAACCTGTTTAGAAGGTACCACATTTGGCACTGAACGCAAAGAAGGCAATATTGCAGATGGGAAAAGTACGTGAGAATCTAACAAAAAAGATTTATGGGACATCCAATGGAAGAAGAACACGTGCATGGGACCGGGACTGGCAAATCGAATTTTGGAAGCATCGCAGCTTAGGAACTACAGAGCCTGAAAAGATTGAGACTTTGAAGTCAGTTCTTAATCTTCTGAAAGAGAGGTCAGAGCATGTAGATACAGAGCAGGAGTCCGATAAGCAGTCCACAAATCCAATTCTTTCCAAGTTGTATTTAGCAGATGTATCGGTACTCCCAAGAAAATATGATATTAAGCCTCTCTTACCTCTTAAAACTGCTGGTAATACAGAGCAGAATAATAAACAGCTTGCCTTGAATGACAAGTGTTCGGAGTCATCTCTTAATTATTCCACTTCAAATTCCTCAAAAATGAATACGGTTTCATCAAAAGGCCGGGTTCCTTCATTGGAGAAATATGGGACTAAGAATAATGTTCCAAGCTCAGAGAATGGCGCTGCATCTAACAAGGTACATCAAGACAAACGCTTGGAAGGGTCCTTGGTTTCTTCGTCTGGTGCTTACAAATCTAAAACCACGAGTGAAGTGGTTGATAAAACTGACAAAAGAAAATGGGCTCTAGAGGTTCTTGCCAGGAAAAGTGGGGGAGGCATGAACACGACAAATGAAAAACAGGAGGACAACACACTCAAAGCAAATTACCCTTTGCTAGTATGTAAAAGCTTTACTTCAAAACCATTTGTTTATGCTGTTTGGTTCTGCAGATCATATAATAAAATTTGTGGTTGCTTTGAGCAGGCTCAATTACCAATAGACATGAGGCCGGTTTTGGCGCCCAGTCGTCATAATAAAATCCCCTTATCAGCGAGGCAGGTATGAAGACCTTGTGTGTGCTCTTCTTCTAACCAATGTTGGTGCGTCCTAGATATCGAATTTAATCAATTCTCTTGATACTTGATAGGTTACTCCGTAAGGTCTTTCTATTAAGAAATATTTTGAACATGGAAAAGGGTGTTGCCTTCTGTTGGTCTTTGAATGGAAAATTAGAAAGGTGGTAGGTTTTTGAGCTTTCTTATGAGGAAATGGTAGAAAGGAACCTTGCCCCCTAATTTCTCATAATCTTGCATGAGGAGTGATTCATCAAGTAAACCTAAGCTAGGACACGCCACTGCTTCCAACACCACCTCAATCGAACAACAACAAAGTCATTACCATTGATTTAACCGTTGCTACTGATATTACTACCACTCTGATGAGAGCGCCAACATGAGTTTCTTGGGCTATGTCAGTACGAGTTACAAGTTCTTTTAACATCATTTATTTGTTTAATTTCATGAAACTGGAGGCTAATTGATTGTTTGGACTTGTTATAAACATCTGCCTTGCAGACACAGCTGTACCGTCTGACTGAGCACTTTTTGAAGAAAGCAAATCTGCCGGTGATCCATAGAACTGCGGATACGGAGTTAGCTGTTGTAGATGCAATAAATATAGAAAAGGGGGTTGCTGATAGGTCAAGCAGCAAGCTAGTGTATATGAATCTATGTTCCCAGGAGATATTGCGTCGTTCAGAAAATAGGAAGTCTAGTGCAGGTGCAGCCCCAGTAAATAGTTCATCCCCATCTTCAGTCCCTGCTGATAGAGCAGAACAAGCTGCCGATGAACTTTCAACTGATCCTGTAATTGAAGCAGCACTGAGAAATGCTGGTCTTCTGTCCGATTATCCTCCAAATAGTCCACATCCCAATGTGGAAGTTCCTGCTGAAGAAGAGGGCCCCTCGTTAGATATCAGAGAGGAAGGGTCTGATAATGTATTTGAAATGGATTTTCAGCCGGATCTGGACATATATGGTGACTTTGAGTATAATTTGGAAGACGAAGACTACATTGGCGCTGCTGCTGCAAAAATCTCCAATCCACAACCAGAAGAAGGGGCACCAAAATTGAAACTGGTGTTCTCTACACTTCAACCTGAAAGATCTAATCAGAATCTAGATTCTGAGAAGATAGGGACGACTGTTGAAGTACAAAAAGATTCTTCCAGCATGCTCGAGAATCATACTTGTTCAGGTTTGGAAAACTCCATCATGGAGGGTGGGACTGACGAATCTAGCGTTCCTCTGGAATCCTTGTTCGGTAAAGAAGGTGAAGAACTTTCTGTTGCAGAATGTGAAGAATTGTATGGACCCGATAAAGAACTACTGATAACGAAATTTCCAGAAGCATCAGAAAAGCTATCTGGATTGATTGATGAAGCTTTGGTTAAGGATAAAGATTCTAAAGAGAATGAAAATTATGCACCAAAGTCAAACCAAGCAGTAAAAACAAATGGATTGGGTAAGGAGAACAATTTGAAAAATATGCTTGTTGCCAGTGGTGGATGCAACTCCTCTGGCAGAGAAGATTCAGCGAACCACATACAACCAGGTGAAACGGTTGATACAAAGGAGAAGAAATCCACTACGGGTTCTAACAATCAGTCTAACAGCGTTGGTTCTGTATCTAAGAAGGTATTTCTCAGCCACGTTTCCCTAAAACAAACTTTAAATTCCTTTACATCGCTCTTGTTTCATTCTTTAAACCCGTATGAAAGGATATTTTCTGTGGATGAACTTAAGGTAATTGAAATATGTCATTTGGGCTGACTTGTTTCCAATCCTTTACAGGTGGAAGCCTACATTAAAGAGCACATCAGACCGCTATGCAAGAGTGGCGTGATTACGGCTGAACAATACAAGTGGGCCGTCGCGAAAACAACTGGTAAGGTTACGAAATACCATTCTAAATCCAAGAATGCAAATTTCCTAATTAAGGAAGGTGAGAAGGTGAAGAAACTCGCTGATAACCACCACAACCACCACCACCATGACCGCCACCTAAACCGCCATCATCACCACCGCGTCACCATGCCTACCTACTCCTCAACCACCTCAACACCACCCCCACCATGATAATCACCAAATAGACACCAACTTAACCACTATCTTGCCAATAATTACCACGTGACACTTCTACCACAATCGTTGCCACTACCACCACCTCATAAGGCCACTTTGGCATGGTCATTATCACCATTTCAATAATGGAAATTTAAAAATAATAATACGTACTAATAAATTGGTCAATAAAGATTTCATGGCAATCCACGGAATTTTAATAATTTTAACATTGAACTCTGTAGAATTCTACAAAAGTTTATCATTTAATTCTTTTCTTTTCCGCAAAAGTATATTATTAAAAGGGAGTCTTAACGAAACATTCTTGGTATTGTTAGTTTTTAACGTTAAGAACATTTTTATTCTAAAAAGTCACCTCTGATACGATTCACTTATAACACTTTTTTATCCTTTTGGTTATAACTCAAAGTTTTCAATCCATTTTCATTAGTTTTCTTATTAAAAGTCTATGAAATTTTATAAACTTTCTAATAATCAGTAAAAGTCACATTAGACACTCAACAAAAGTCTATATAAATCTTAATAAACCACACCTCGTAAAGTAAGCTACCACAGAAAGTGGCAAAACTTGAGTTTTTGAATTATGTAATCCAAAACAAGTGGTAGTGATAGTTAGGTTCTGTTGCTTGATAAAATACAATAGCATTTTATGTTGAATGGATGAAGAGATCCGGGACGCCACAATTATGACATAATTTCATCCGAAGCATATTATTTAAGGACAATGTTAGGAAGACTAAATTTGTAGATAAAATTTTGTAAACTGAATAACATAGAAGTTGATGATTGAATTATGACTTAAGCGTTGATAAATGTGCTCATTCCTATTGGTGACACGTCATTTAGTTTGCAAATTTTGTTTACAAATTTAGTCTTTGTAACATTACTCATTATTTAAATAAGAATCATGTCCTTGTTAAAAATGAGACTACAACTTACCAATATTTCTCTACATGTAAGTGAGAGATCTTAAGTTTGACTTATTTGGTCGGCAAGTTCGATACCCCTAATTATTATTGCTGACTCATTATAGGACTTTGTTCAAATTTCCCACCCTTTAAGTACGTAGAATATCGGTTAGTATATATATAAAAAAAAGTCTTTGATGTCCAAAATACTCTGGTATCCGTTCACAAAACGCCACCAAAATTTGCCAAAGAGCTTTAGCTCAAGTGCTGAGGATAGGCTCATAAGTTCAAACTTTTAAGAAACAACACCAAACTTTGACACAAAACAGACGGACAACTGAGCATCGAACATAAGAGCAAAGGTGGTTCCAGATTCCACCAATTGCATAGGTTGGGTGTGGACACCCCTCCAGGCTCCATCTAGGCACTGTTGTCCTTCCAAATCCGCCCGGAGATCCTAAGCTTGAGCTCCTTCCTGTCTCCACCGGAGAAAAAAAGTGCCATGTTACGCTGGACTATGAGACCGTCATGGCTGTCCCTGACCTTCTGATGGCTGTCACGGATGCTCCGAGGGGTTCCTTCCCATATTAGTTTCCTGCTGTTGCTGCCCACCTCCAGTCTGTAGCTGAAGCTTCGTGCCTCAGCCGCATCACCCATGAAGCGAAGGAATGCAATGTAAACCGGAGCTATGCCGAGGTGGAAGGCTTCAAAGTGCAGACAGAAGTACTGGTTGTAACAGTTAAAAACCTAACAAAATATAAAGAATGTGAAGGCGAGCATCTAGGAAAACAAACACATCATACATTCACCAATTACCATAGATACTAAGATTAGAGCCAACCCATTACCCATTTAGTAAACAGAGTTTGGGCTCGTTTGTAAATGCTTTTATATAGGGCACTTCTTCTTATAGCTAGTTTTGTGAGAAGCATAACAAAATTTTTAGTACTATTCCAAGTTCTTAAGTTCTATAAAGACTTATAAGTACTTTTAGCTGTAAAAACACTTTTTCTGGGTGGATTTTTGTTCAAAATGTTGGGTTGCCTTTAATAGAAGAGTTCCTAAAAAAAGTGCTTATGGGCATAATACTTTCTAAGGAAGCATTTCCAAACAGACTCTATGTGTTTCTCTATAAAACATTTTTGTAATTCAAAAGATTTTTTTAAATATTTAAGCCAAAGATTGCCAGGACTACTTTTGAGTGTTATATTTTTCCCTTCATGTTGGAAAGTATAGGTGTTCTCTCGGCCGCAACTTTTGACGTTACGGTCATAAAGCCAAGGCCGGCCTAGTAGCACATGTGCAACACTCATAGGTAGGATATCACAATAAAGTTTCTCGTGACAGGGACCCAATTGAAGAGGAACAAGACATCTTTCAGTAACAGGTAACCTAGTTTTATCTACCCAGCCGACTTGAAAAGGATGGGGATGTGGTTCGGCCTGAAGGTGAAGACGATCGACGGCAGCTTTAGAAATAACATTCAGCGTACTTCCCCCATCAATAACTAGCTGGCAGCGAGTGGTACCGCAAGGGACATAAGTCTGGAAGATACTTGTGCGTTTCCATGAATCAGGAGGTGGAGGTGTAGATGCTGAATAACTACAACGCATAACACTCAGTTGTTGCAATGCTTCTTCCTCACAACAATTATCAAGGTCGGGATCATAAATAGGTTCAAGGGGCTCCACATACTCATCCACACAAGGGTCCTCAGTGTTGGAGCTAATATTTAAAGTTCTGTGAGGGCAACGGGAGGCGATGTGGCCCTTAGCATGGCAACGATAGCATTCGAGGTGAGTAGCCGTGGATGGGGCTGGTCCTTTCTCTGTGGCAGGTACCGTGGGAGCATGTGGACCAGTGATGCCATATTTGGAACTTGGATTACTGCGGTTTGGAGCAGAGGTGGAAGGATACCCGGAAGTCCCGGTGTACCTACGTTGTGGGCGCAAAAAGGTTTCAGCTTCCAATGCATGGCAATATGCATCTTCCAACGTATACGGACGGAACCGACGGACTTCACGCTTGATATCGTCACGAAGACCATGAATAAAACGAGACATGGTGATGTCTGGTTCTTCACGAAGCCCCGCACGTATTTTGTGTTCAATAAAACGAGCGTGGAATTCTGTAACTGTAACACTTCCTTGTGAAAGGGTCCATAACTGATCATACAATTGATGGCGATAAAATGTAGGAAGATATTGTTCGCGAAGCTTGAATTTCATCTCGTCCCAAAGAGTCACAGGCTGTTGTCCCAGTTGGTATAGTTGCTCCTCCACGGAATTCCAATATTGTCTAGCGGCTCCCTGTAAGGTCATCTTACCAATGCGTATTTTATAAGCATCCGTCAAATCATACCAAGCAAAATAATCTTCCAGGGCTTGGATCCAATCAAGAAACATCGTAGGATCCCCACGACCATCAAAAGTAGGAGCGATAGGTTTGATGTGGCGGATGATCTCGTTGTCAAACTGGCGAGGGGGAGGAGGGTACTGATCATGTGGAGCGGGTGGTAGGTTTAGAGCCTGAGGAGTCCCTGGAGGAGGACCTATTGTATGTTGGTTATAATGGCGTGGCGGCATAGACCCCGTGGAGCTAAGCGGCATTCCGTAGGACACTGCCTTTAATTTAGGATCCACCGGTGGAGTGGGCAAAAGGCCACTTGTTGGTGGTGGCGTCGACGAGCTTGGGATCACGGTGGAGGAAGACGAAGTTGCAGCGTGTTCAACCCGAAAGTGGTTGATAAGTAACTGAACGGAGTTTTGAAGTTTAGTGATGGCAAGGTCCGTCGTTGAACGATGGGCGTGAGCCTGTACCAACTCTTCTTTGAGGTCAGTGCTGAGTTTAGAGAGTTGGGTTTCTATGCCCGCGATATTGTCCGTGACTTTGTTTTGGAACGTATGACATTGGTCTGCAAGGTTGGCCACGGTTTGGGGTGCCATGGCAGGGGTCAACCGCCAACGAAAGGGATTGTAGGCTCTGATTACCAAATTGATGTAGAACTGCGGTAGTATTAGGATAAACAAGGGTGTGACGGAACCGAGAAGAGGTAAAAGATCGAGGAGACGAATTAGGGGTCGAAGAGACGAAAGGAAAGGGGAAGAAACCAGGGAGTTCTAGTAAGGAGATTTTTCATTCATCAAAGTTATATTAAAAGATTACAATCTGCTCTATTTATAGAGACAAACTTTGAAAAATAGGAAAGCAAAATCTAATAAGAAATCCTTTAACAACGGGGAAATCTTAACTAAACTAGGAAAACTAATAAAAGGAAAGCTAATCCAAGTAGAACTAGGAGATGCATTCTGCATCATTACCATGTTCAACTTATTTATTTGTTTTTTATGTTCCTCTAGCTGCTGACATGAATAATAATGACACTGAAGATATAAAGCAGCACAATCCTTCAGAAGAATATTTTTCAAAAGGTATGAAGCTATTTTAAGCATCATTTGTTCTCTCCCCCTCTCCCTCTCTCTCTCTCTCTCTCTCTCTCTGTTTTGGACGGGGAAGAGACCAGAGAGAGTTATTTTTCTAATTAAATACAACAGTCACTCACGTACCATTTGCTTATTGTTGAATGTTTCTAGCTGAGACTCTCATACCAAAAGAAGTGACTGACGATGTGAAGCAGCACGATCCTTGGGAAGGATATTCACCTATAGGTATCTTTATTCATCATTTGCTGTGTTTTCTTTTTGCTTGGGAGTGGAAGCAAAACAAATTTAAAAAATTAAATTGTTTGGTCACCAGTCACTTGTGTGCTTTGCTTAATTATTGAACTGTTTTCAGCTGACGAAATTGTACCAGATGCTAATTTGGATGCCCCTGGATCGACTGCTGGTGGAAAGAGAAAGCGTATTGATTGCAGGTCACTTGTCATTCTTATACGGTTTTCAGCAATTAGTGCTAGCTATGAGCCTCAGGTTTTGTTACTGCTATCCTCAATTCATATGATGTCACCATCAGTCGTGTAATTGTTCTAATATTCCTAAATTATGTCGGCTGTGTTGTGTTTCTTTCTACTACCTCAACTCTGTATGTCACTGATGTTTCTTACTTTATGTTGGACGTGTTGTCTTTCTGTTATCCATAGTAGACCTTGATTCATTCCGCTGGCACGTTCATCGTGTATTAGATTTTGGTTTCGGGGCATCTCTCTTTTTCCTGTCTTTTAGATTCCAGTAAGGTGGTTACTATATTTCTAATTCCATTGTATTATTGTAGTTTGTAGATTAAACTAAATCAGTATGTAGGTTTGGCCAATTATTGTTCTATTCGCATAAAAATGCATGCATGCAACACAAGTTTTCAATTTCTGCTTTATAAATATTCCCCAAAAGCTCTCTTTTATTTCCCTTTGATGCAATGCAAACTCATCACTAAAATATCAAAAAGCATCAACAAAATGTCAGCAGAAGTCAACTCAACTGGTTGAACAAAAATGCAGGTTAATTTTAAGCGGTTTCACTATCCTCACACTTGTATTTTAGCAGCCTTCTATTTTATTGTCTTTTTCCTGAAGAATTTGTAATTCGAATGTCGATTTGCTGGCTTTACATGCTTCATAGCAAGTAGAATAAGAGTTCTGACTTTATTTTTCCTTGACCTTTTGGTAGCGATGACATTCGTATCATTGATGATGATGGAGATACTGACCCTAAGATTGAGACCAAAGTTTCTGCTAAGAAAATCAGAGAGGATGTGAAGACACAACGCATGGCTTCCAATGACCAAGCCAAAGAATCTGTTCCAGATGATTCTGAAAACTGTTCTATCCTGACTGTAGCTCATAAAGATAGCACGTTATCATCTCATCCTGTTGAGGGGAACACCACTTCCGATATAATGAGCATTGTTAGAACTACGAAGCGTAAATCTTCTAAGGGGATTGCACGCTCTAATCCTGCTGATAAATCATCACAAGAACAAGAAACTGTGCCTGGTTTGAGAGTTAAAAAGATCATGAGGAGAGCTGCTGAGGACAAGGACTCGTCTGTGACAGTTCAGACACTGAGAAAAGAAATAAGAGAAGCTGTCGGTAAAATTTCTTAAAAAGTTATTGCCGAAAACCTTTTCAATCCAAAGCTTCTTCATGCCTTTAGGACTGCTGCAGCAGGGGGACCTCAAACTGAACCTGTTTAGAAGGTACCACATTTGGCACTGAACGCAAAGAAGGCAATATTGCAGATGGGAAAAGTACGTGAGAATCTAACAAAAAAGATTTATGGGACATCCAATGGAAGAAGAACACGTGCATGGGACCGGGACTGGCAAATCGAATTTTGGAAGCATCGCAGCTTAGGAACTACAGAGCCTGAAAAGATTGAGACTTTGAAGTCAGTTCTTAATCTTCTGAAAGAGAGGTCAGAGCATGTAGATACAGAGCAGGAGTCCGATAAGCAGTCCACAAATCCAATTCTTTCCAAGTTGTATTTAGCAGATGTATCGGTACTCCCAAGAAAATATGATATTAAGCCTCTCTTACCTCTTAAAACTGCTGGTAATACAGAGCAGAATAATAAACAGCTTGCCTTGAATGACAAGTGTTCGGAGTCATCTCTTAATTATTCCACTTCAAATTCCTCAAAAATGAATACGGTTTCATCAAAAGGCCGGGTTCCTTCATTGGAGAAATATGGGACTAAGAATAATGTTCCAAGCTCAGAGAATGGCGCTGCATCTAACAAGGTACATCAAGACAAACGCTTGGAAGGGTCCTTGGTTTCTTCGTCTGGTGCTTACAAATCTAAAACCACGAGTGAAGTGGTTGATAAAACTGACAAAAGAAAATGGGCTCTAGAGGTTCTTGCCAGGAAAAGTGGGGGAGGCATGAACACGACAAATGAAAAACAGGAGGACAACACACTCAAAGCAAATTACCCTTTGCTAGTATGTAAAAGCTTTACTTCAAAACCATTTGTTTATGCTGTTTGGTTCTGCAGATCATATAATAAAATTTGTGGTTGCTTTGAGCAGGCTCAATTACCAATAGACATGAGGCCGGTTTTGGCGCCCAGTCGTCATAATAAAATCCCCTTATCAGCGAGGCAGGTATGAAGACCTTGTGTGTGCTCTTCTTCTAACCAATGTTGGTGCGTCCTAGATATCGAATTTAATCAATTCTCTTGATACTTGATAGGTTACTCCGTAAGGTCTTTCTATTAAGAAATATTTTGAACATGGAAAAGGGTGTTGCCTTCTGTTGGTCTTTGAATGGAAAATTAGAAAGGTGGTAGGTTTTTGAGCTTTCTTATGAGGAAATGGTAGAAAGGAACCTTGCCCCCTAATTTCTCATAATCTTGCATGAGGAGTGATTCATCAAGTAAACCTAAGCTAGGACACGCCACTGCTTCCAACACCACCTCAATCGAACAACAACAAAGTCATTACCATTGATTTAACCGTTGCTACTGATATTACTACCACTCTGATGAGAGCGCCAACATGAGTTTCTTGGGCTATGTCAGTACGAGTTACAAGTTCTTTTAACATCATTTATTTGTTTAATTTCATGAAACTGGAGGCTAATTGATTGTTTGGACTTGTTATAAACATCTGCCTTGCAGACACAGCTGTACCGTCTGACTGAGCACTTTTTGAAGAAAGCAAATCTGCCGGTGATCCATAGAACTGCGGATACGGAGTTAGCTGTTGTAGATGCAATAAATATAGAAAAGGGGGTTGCTGATAGGTCAAGCAGCAAGCTAGTGTATATGAATCTATGTTCCCAGGAGATATTGCGTCGTTCAGAAAATAGGAAGTCTAGTGCAGGTGCAGCCCCAGTAAATAGTTCATCCCCATCTTCAGTCCCTGCTGATAGAGCAGAACAAGCTGCCGATGAACTTTCAACTGATCCTGTAATTGAAGCAGCACTGAGAAATGCTGGTCTTCTGTCCGATTATCCTCCAAATAGTCCACATCCCAATGTGGAAGTTCCTGCTGAAGAAGAGGGCCCCTCGTTAGATATCAGAGAGGAAGGGTCTGATAATGTATTTGAAATGGATTTTCAGCCGGATCTGGACATATATGGTGACTTTGAGTATAATTTGGAAGACGAAGACTACATTGGCGCTGCTGCTGCAAAAATCTCCAATCCACAACCAGAAGAAGGGGCACCAAAATTGAAACTGGTGTTCTCTACACTTCAACCTGAAAGATCTAATCAGAATCTAGATTCTGAGAAGATAGGGACGACTGTTGAAGTACAAAAAGATTCTTCCAGCATGCTCGAGAATCATACTTGTTCAGGTTTGGAAAACTCCATCATGGAGGGTGGGACTGACGAATCTAGCGTTCCTCTGGAATCCTTGTTCGGTAAAGAAGGTGAAGAACTTTCTGTTGCAGAATGTGAAGAATTGTATGGACCCGATAAAGAACTACTGATAACGAAATTTCCAGAAGCATCAGAAAAGCTATCTGGATTGATTGATGAAGCTTTGGTTAAGGATAAAGATTCTAAAGAGAATGAAAATTATGCACCAAAGTCAAACCAAGCAGTAAAAACAAATGGATTGGGTAAGGAGAACAATTTGAAAAATATGCTTGTTGCCAGTGGTGGATGCAACTCCTCTGGCAGAGAAGATTCAGCGAACCACATACAACCAGGTGAAACGGTTGATACAAAGGAGAAGAAATCCACTACGGGTTCTAACAATCAGTCTAACAGCGTTGGTTCTGTATCTAAGAAGGTATTTCTCAGCCACGTTTCCCTAAAACAAACTTTAAATTCCTTTACATCGCTCTTGTTTCATTCTTTAAACCCGTATGAAAGGATATTTTCTGTGGATGAACTTAAGGTAATTGAAATATGTCATTTGGGCTGACTTGTTTCCAATCCTTTACAGGTGGAAGCCTACATTAAAGAGCACATCAGACCGCTATGCAAGAGTGGCGTGATTACGGCTGAACAATACAAGTGGGCCGTCGCGAAAACAACTGGTAAGGTTACGAAATACCATTCTAAATCCAAGAATGCAAATTTCCTAATTAAGGAAGGTGAGAAGGTGAAGAAACTCGCTGATAACCACCACAACCACCACCACCATGACCGCCACCTAAACCGCCATCATCACCACCGCGTCACCATGCCTACCTACTCCTCAACCACCTCAACACCACCCCCACCATGATAATCACCAAATAGACACCAACTTAACCACTATCTTGCCAATAATTACCACGTGACACTTCTACCACAATCGTTGCCACTACCACCACCTCATAAGGCCACTTTGGCATGGTCATTATCACCATTTCAATAATGGAAATTTAAAAATAATAATACGTACTAATAAATTGGTCAATAAAGATTTCATGGCAATCCACGGAATTTTAATAATTTTAACATTGAACTCTGTAGAATTCTACAAAAGTTTATCATTTAATTCTTTTCTTTTCCGCAAAAGTATATTATTAAAAGGGAGTCTTAACGAAACATTCTTGGTATTGTTAGTTTTTAACGTTAAGAACATTTTTATTCTAAAAAGTCACCTCTGATACGATTCACTTATAACACTTTTTTATCCTTTTGGTTATAACTCAAAGTTTTCAATCCATTTTCATTAGTTTTCTTATTAAAAGTCTATGAAATTTTATAAACTTTCTAATAATCAGTAAAAGTCACATTAGACACTCAACAAAAGTCTATATAAATCTTAATAAACCACACCTCGTAAAGTAAGCTACCACAGAAAGTGGCAAAACTTGAGTTTTTGAATTATGTAATCCAAAACAAGTGGTAGTGATAGTTAGGTTCTGTTGCTTGATAAAATACAATAGCATTTTATGTTGAATGGATGAAGAGATCCGGGACGCCACAATTATGACATAATTTCATCCGAAGCATATTATTTAAGGACAATGTTAGGAAGACTAAATTTGTAGATAAAATTTTGTAAACTGAATAACATAGAAGTTGATGATTGAATTATGACTTAAGCGTTGATAAATGTGCTCATTCCTATTGGTGACACGTCATTTAGTTTGCAAATTTTGTTTACAAATTTAGTCTTTGTAACATTACTCATTATTTAAATAAGAATCATGTCCTTGTTAAAAATGAGACTACAACTTACCAATATTTCTCTACATGTAAGTGAGAGATCTTAAGTTTGACTTATTTGGTCGGCAAGTTCGATACCCCTAATTATTATTGCTGACTCATTATAGGACTTTGTTCAAATTTCCCACCCTTTAAGTACGTAGAATATCGGTTAGTATATATATAAAAAAAAGTCTTTGATGTCCAAAATACTCTGGTATCCGTTCACAAAACGCCACCAAAATTTGCCAAAGAGCTTTAGCTCAAGTGCTGAGGATAGGCTCATAAGTTCAAACTTTTAAGAAACAACACCAAACTTTGACACAAAACAGACGGACAACTGAGCATCGAACATAAGAGCAAAGGTGGTTCCAGATTCCACCAATTGCATAGGTTGGGTGTGGACACCCCTCCAGGCTCCATCTAGGCACTGTTGTCCTTCCAAATCCGCCCGGAGATCCTAAGCTTGAGCTCCTTCCTGTCTCCACCGGAGAAAAAAAGTGCCATGTTACGCTGGACTATGAGACCGTCATGGCTGTCCCTGACCTTCTGATGGCTGTCACGGATGCTCCGAGGGGTTCCTTCCCATATTAGTTTCCTGCTGTTGCTGCCCACCTCCAGTCTGTAGCTGAAGCTTCGTGCCTCAGCCGCATCACCCATGAAGCGAAGGAATGCAATGTAAACCGGAGCTATGCCGAGGTGGAAGGCTTCAAAGTGCAGACAGAAGTACTGGTTGTAACAGTTAAAAACCTAACAAAATATAAAGAATGTGAAGGCGAGCATCTAGGAAAACAAACACATCATACATTCACCAATTACCATAGATACTAAGATTAGAGCCAACCCATTACCCATTTAGTAAACAGAGTTTGGGCTCGTTTGTAAATGCTTTTATATAGGGCACTTCTTCTTATAGCTAGTTTTGTGAGAAGCATAACAAAATTTTTAGTACTATTCCAAGTTCTTAAGTTCTATAAAGACTTATAAGTACTTTTAGCTGTAAAAACACTTTTTCTGGGTGGATTTTTGTTCAAAATGTTGGGTTGCCTTTAATAGAAGAGTTCCTAAAAAAAGTGCTTATGGGCATAATACTTTCTAAGGAAGCATTTCCAAACAGACTCTATGTGTTTCTCTATAAAACATTTTTGTAATTCAAAAGATTTTTTTAAATATTTAAGCCAAAGATTGCCAGGACTACTATTGGTTATCTGAACGTATTTTTAGCCTTAAAAAAGTAAGGTCAAATGAGCCATTTATCACTTTTACTCTAAACTACCTAAATTCATTCTCAATTTCCACCAATCAAAACCAAAAAAAGAAACAACACTTACCATAAGCATCCTTGCTGCACACTCTACTTCGCGGCGATTCGACTTAACATAGAGGTGATTAAACGTTGACCCAATGTGCAAGTCAACCTTGTGATCTTCTCTCACATGGTCAACCAAAAATGGAACATCCCCAACCTCTGAGCACTCATCAGATCCAGGATAAGGGCAACTGTATGGTCTGAAGTTGCAGTGAGCCTCATGCCTGAGTTTGATGTAGTAAGGGAGGATCTCCATGCACCCCAAAGAGCAATACTTGCAAGGCAGTTCTAACGATTCTGCCACCTTCTCCAACGCCAGACATCGGATGTCGCCGAGTTTTTCTCGACAAGTCGGGCACCGGTTCACCGTCAGTTTGCAGATTGAGCACAGAGTATGCCCGTTTGGGCACTGCAGAACAGACTTTCGGAATCAACTACTTTCAAGTTCTAAAACTTGTAATGTAAGTAGTAAATCTAAGTGAAAGTGTAGTTGCTATTGACGCATGTAAAATAGCACTCAATCGTAGTAATTGCACTACTAATAACACTAGGATTGTTTGTGATAAAACATCACACCTGATGAGCTGTAAAAGTGGTAAGTTGGAGATAATATCAGTGTTGGACGAATTAGTTGAGGCTACTAGTCCATTTGTGTGAAATCCAACGCTATTTTATAAACGAAGGACTTCAAAAATAATGGAGGAACTTAAAAATAACTAGATGCAATATATTTGAAAGAACTTTCTAATGACATCTATTAACGAGTCATTTCGAAAGTCCTTTGTAGTGACACATCACGTTATTTATCGTTTGTTTGTTGTAAATATATTTTATGATAGTTTTATAGTGATCAAGTAATTTTTAAGTTTCATTTCTGACTCTTTGTAGTGTATTTTTAGCAATTGGATATAAGGTTATTGAGTAAATCTCAGTTTACTACTCTTAAGTTTCGTGGTTTTCAAAATTTAGTACATGAACTTTTTTTTCGTCTCAAAGTCATTACTAAAATGTTAATTTTAGAACAGTCTCATATATCCCTTTAATCCCGTCATTAAGGGATTCATGTGGAAATGAAAAAAAAAAAAAAAAAAAAACAAAACTAAAACAGATCCCCCTCTTCTTCCACCCGACCCTCCATCTCCCCCAATCTCTATAACCACCAGCGCACCACCCCTCTTCCCCGACACCTTCTCCCTCTCCTCCACTCTCTTCACCTCCCCTCCCATCAGAAAAATGCACAGCTTTACCCCCAAAACCCAGCTCTCAACTTTCCTTCACTTCCTCTCTCTTTTCTTCTCTACCCAGTAGACAACAAGTTCAAAAGTTCAAGATATAAATACAAACAAAAACCCATAATTCAACTCATCCAATATATATAATCCAACAAGCACCAAATGTATGAATCCACCCCCTTCACAAACCCACCAAAGTCACACTTTTTGCATAGCAAAAACCCACAATTTCAGAAACCCAAACCTAAAATCTTGAAAATCTTCAATCTTCCACCATAGTAAGTTAAATTCAGCACATAAAATCTTCAAGAATGCCAGTTCTTCAACATAGAATGCAAACTCTCAATGCTAACAACAATACCCGCAAATTCAAAACAAAAAAAACCCCAATTTCCAAGTCCAAACCTTTTTGCAGAATCTGCAGAATGTTGAGTAGCATGAAGACAAAGCATCTCTTTTACTGAAACCCTAGAAAATTATTTAGGGCTTTTGGAGAAGAAGGACATGGATCAAAGGGCTCTCAGGGGATGGAGAGAGACACGTAGAGTTTGTCAGTTTCGGAGAATAAAAAAATTAAACAAAAATTAACATCAAATCTCTCGAATAATATAATAAAGTGTGGGAAAATCGAGTAAAAAAAATGAAGTAAAAATTGGTAGGGTGAGAAGGTGGGGAGTGTCCCCTAGCAGTGACAGCAGCTTTCAGTGAAAGAGAAAAGACTTGACTTTGTAGTTTGTAGAGTCTCAATGCATAAAAATAAAAAATAAAAAATAAAATAAACACATTCTTCTTCGGTGGAGGAAGCGATGAGAACACAAAGGAGGGTTTTGAGGTGGGGATTGAATCAATTGGGTCTTCATCGTCATCGCCAAGATTTGGGGATTTTGGAATTAGGATTTGTTTTGGTTTGGGAAGGGATTGGAATAAAGAGGGATTTTGGGGTTTGGGTTTGGGTAGAGAAGAAAAGAGAGAGGAAGTGGAGGAAAGTTGAGAGGTGGGTTTTGGGGGTAAAGCTGTGCATTTTTCTGATGGGAGGGGAGATGAAGCGAGTGGAGGAGAGGGAGAAGGTGTTGGGGAAGAGGGGCGGTGCGTTGGTGGTTACGGGGATTGGAGGAGATGGAGGGTCGGGCGGAAGAAGAGGGGTCTGTTTTTTTTTTTTTCCATCCCTTAATGACATGTAACACCTAGTAATTGTTCACATAGACGTCACATCATCAGATAACGGAAGACTTAACAGCCAGACTAACAGATGTATGAGACGGTTCCAAAATTAACATTTTAGGTTTGATTTTGGGACGAAAAAAACTTCATGTACCAAATATTGAAAATCACAAAACTTAAGAGTAATAAACTGAGATTTACCCAAAGTTATTTGTACTTTAAAAGTCTCTTACCCAAGTCCAAAACATAATGAAACTTAAAGAAAACTCAAACCATCATTAGACATCAATTTAGTTCTGTGATTTAAGGGGTTGTATTTAATTGAGGACTTGTTTGAAAGTACTTTTAAAATGACTAAAAACGTTTTTAATGAAAATGTTTTTAGAATCAATTCTCAGTAAAAATGCAAGTGAATTCTTGAAAAGCACTTGAAGTGCTTCCACTTGTGCTTCTGGTTTTGGAACCCAAACATTTTCTTTAAAAATGCTATCAGTAATTTCAAAAGTAGTTCCAAATGAGCCTTGAGATTCTGAAAGATTTTAAAAGATTTATAAATCCATAGAGTTTATACACTCGATATGAATTTTGGGTGAAATCATTAGAAATCTTAGGGGTTGAGGCCTTATTTCTTAAAGCCTAAAAAAAACTATAAAATTCCTCTAAATCCCAAAATCCTTCATCTTTTAAGATATTTTAAAGTTCAATCATAATTGAATATATATGGAGTTTTATGAACTACTTTAAAATCCAGATAAATACACTCAGATTTCTATAGAGTTTTATAAACCTATTTAAAATCTTGATTGAATACTTGTGGATTTCCATGAATTCATTTAAAATCTTAATTAAATACATATAGATTTATACTCTTTTAAATTCATAATTGAATACATCCACAAAACCATCTGCATTCTTTATGATATTTATGAAGAATACACCCTCATCCTAGCATTTCCAAAACCAAACAAAACTAATAATAGTCATCAAAAGCAATTGTAATACTACTACAAAAAAAAAAATTAAGAAATTTTTTAAAATAACCACATTTAGGATGCTTTATAAACTTTTAGCCACTTGTTTTGAATTTTTTGAATTTTAACCACTCAAGGGGTTTTGCATACGCATTAGGAAGATTCGAGTGTTACTCTTGAAGGAAGCTTCAAGCGATATGCTCGAGGAAGCCTCAAATGGTTAGATATCTAAATTTTGGAAAACAAGGCTAAAAATCCTTAATGTATAATATAATACAGTTAGTTTTCCAAATTTTCAAAAATAGAAAATTAATGCAACCCCATTATGGCAAATAAGAGGACTAA